TATCAAATGATGAAACATCTTATTTTTGTATAAAAATAACATTTTTAAAATAATGGGCACCAGAAATTTTGGTATGGGCAGTTGCCCACCCTGCCCATACGCTAGAACCGCCACTGGGGGGCTGTAATGCTACTCAAAAAATTATAGGGGATGAGATATTTATGTCTGTTTATATTCCTATGTACAAATAGTTTGGCTTTTAATATTTGCATATAGATTACATTAATATTATTCAATACATGTAGTTGTTTAACCAATTGTGTGTACTAAGTACTAAATATGTTAATAGTATTTATTCATAATAGTAGTAAAGTGAATTTTGTATAGAATAGGAAAAGTTTATTTAGTTTTATTATTTCAAAAACGTTAGCTATGATTTATAAATCATTTTCGAATTTAATTTGCATAATATTCATTCAGTATGCCAAATAAATAATTGATTTCCACAACCACGACATCTGAAGAAAATATAATCTTTTTCTAGTGTTTGATACCAGTGAGTAGCATTAAGTGTGATTGTTATGTCGACTGATTGGTATATTATGTCCTTTTTCTCATTTTGAAGGTATAGAGTTATACTACGTCTACAATTCTGTTTGTCATGGACAACAACATGCCAGTCATCAGTAACAGTATAGTCTAGGAATGAGAAAGAAAGGATATTGATTTTCCCAAATACATTTCTGTATTCCTTTTCAATTATGTTTATATGAGATTCTGAAAATGTATTTCTTAATAATTTCAATTCATCTGAATTTCTGATTTTAAAATAACGACTAGGAAATCTAGTTTCGAGTTCATCTGATTGTTTATTGATCATCTCCTTTATTATATCGAACTGTTTTAGACGAGGAAAATTATTATTATTACTGACTTTACTGAGAGCTTGATCTTTATATTTATTGAATAATTTATTTATATGCATATTGTAGAATAAATTATTATAACTAGGTTGGTTCAAACTTTAGAATAGTGAATAGTTTTAAATCAACTTGATATATTAAAATAGTGAATATTATGCATCACAGTCAGTGGCGCAACTAGAGTTTAAATCTTGGAGGTGCTACAATTATGAATCACTTACAAAATCGCTGGTGGAGCCATCCTCACACCCCCCACAGATTCAATTTTACATAATCTCAATATTTAAATTATAATACTATTATTATACTCGCAATATCATTTTTGGAAAAACTAATATAACACATTAAATTTATTTATTATAGTATTTGATTATATTACATTTTTTTTTTATTTTGTACCAAGAGAGTAATTTTAAAGTGTTAAAAATAATTTTCGGTCAACATTTGCAAATGTGGTTAAAATTTCTTTGGAAGCAATGCAATTAGCAATATCCCTTTCAATATTCAAAATACTTAAATTTGTAAAACGTTGCTGCAACAAGCTGCTTCGTAACCAGTTTTTCAACCTCCTCATGGAGGGAAAACTTTGTTGACATGTTGCAGAACTAAACGGTATAGTTAAAGCAACCTGCATTAACTTGTATACAATCGGAAATTTGTCTTTATCCAGAATTTCTTTTATTTCATCTTTACTGTTTCTTTGCTACCAGCATTTTTGATTTTAAGCATTCGGTGTTTGAATTTATTATGTCCTAAAATCATATAATATTTTTTAACTTTCTCAAATGTAATGATTTTATTACATTTAGTACTGTATCACTTATTTAATATGCACCTTATAATGTAGAATAAAATGTTGATTATTTTCACAATCCATATTGATAAAATTATCAATGGCTTTAGCCATCTTAAGATTTTCATTTGAAAACCTGCACTCTAAATTTTTAATAATAGTATCAATAATTGGGAAATAAATTGTTTTCCTCCAATAGGCTTCAACTGATTCTTTTTGTTCTTCATAATTAGCTCCGTTTCCAAATGGAAATTTTTCAAATTATTTGGTTCGCTTCTTTTTCGTTTTGATACTTTAAAAATTTTTTATAAATCGCTATAATGTTGATAATTTAATATAATATACTATTTAGGATATATACAACCTTGATGATATACATTTTATTAATCAGTATGCAAGATAAGAAAATATACAGGGTCCGGCACTCGAAGTGTAACCAAATCAAAAGGCCATAAATTCAATTTGGAAAATTACTTTTATTTAATTCAAAGTAAAAAATGTGTGAAAATAATACAAAATCAAGAATCAATTTACTTTTGCTCGATATGACCACCTTTTGCCTTGACTATGGCCTTGAGACGGTCCAGGAACGAATCGAAAGATGCCCGAATGTGATTTGCAGGTATTTTGGCCCACTCGCTAACAAGGGCTTTTTTTAGTGCCTCGAGACTAGTGAATCTTTTAGTTCTGACCTTGCTCTCTAAAATGGCCCAAAGAGAATAATCCATCGGATTCGTGTCTAGTGAATTTTAGAGCCATTGTGTGGACGTTATGAAGTTTGGAACGTTGTGTTTCAGCCATTCTTGGTTCACTCGTGCTTTGTGAAACGGGGCCGAGTCCTGTTAAAACGTCCATGGTCTGCAACCGAAATGTTTGTCTGCCCACGGCTTCAGAGCAACCTCCAGAATACTTTCCCGATAATATTTCGTATTGACTTTGACGCCAAGCTCGATGAAAACGATTGGAGAGCGCCCATCTGCGGTTACAGCGGCTTTTTAAATTAGTCCAAATATTTTGACCCGGTTGCTGATTAACTCTGCCAAAATTAACATAAGCGTTTTCTGCTGTAAATGATACACATTTTGTCAACAAGTCGTGCTTTTGCAAGCTTGTTTTAATTATCTATGTTATATTGTCAGTAGTTTCATTGGATGTGCTCAGATTATCCAACAGTTTTGTTTTAATGCCTTTTTGCTAGTCAAAAAATTTTATCATAATAGGGAATATTTCTTCCGCACCGTAGTTACTTGCATCTGTGGAAACGCTCAAGTAGTTGACATTTTGTAATAAGACTTTTACCTGTTCAATTACCCACGGAGATATCACGCCCGTAACAATGGCCTCAGCCTTCGTTCTTGCACAAGTAATACTATTCGCAGTGTTGGAATCGGAAACTGTAGTCTTCACCAGTTGGCTGGTGCAATCTTTAAGTGCGATGTGCAACACGTGAGCGAGATCCGTAATATATAAAAAAGGACTGTATTAAATTGTAGTAGCTTTGAGAAGAAACAAACAATCAAGTATACAAATACATCAAATATAATAAATACAATAATAAGAACTAATAACAATTTAAAATAAGTAATTAAATGATATTACAAATATTACAAGTATCTCCTAGTTTTTACAATTTTTCTATCATACCTATTATCTCAGGCTATTCACTGTAGGAGTATTGAGATCATTATTAATAATATTATTTTCTTTATTAACATTAACTCTGTTATTTAATAAATAATCTATGCGTTTATTGGCAGACTTCATAATATGTTTCTTATTTCTTCTATACATTTGATCATTGTTGTTTTGTATAATATATGACCTAGGTTTATTACAAATTTCAACTATTTTATCAGATGACTAATTACTATCAGGTTTAACTTAAAATAACATGCTATCAATAACTACTAAATCACTTAATTGTTTAGATGTTTTATTATATAATGTAGGAGATAAGTATATATTAAAATATGAAGTAACAATAATTTCCCTTAATGGTTACGATTTATTCGGTAGATGACTAATACACAATAAATAGACACAAAACTAAATAAATAAGTAGCACTTCACGCTTGTAATAACTAAAAATACAGTTGATGGGGATGGTATTAATAAAGAAGAATGATAATGGTATCATCCGTAAAGACATCATAAATTCAGTGGCGTATTTTGGGGGGGTGTCCTTCATGTCTGGACACCCCCCAACTTAAAAAAAATGCCTAATATATTGGTATTAACTTTTTTTTATAATATATTATATTTATTTACTAAAAATAAATAGTATTTTAAATAAATAACAAAATTGAAGATAATTTGATAGGATTCGACGACACGTATTTATCTACATTTTATCAGAGATTCNTGAAGATAATTTGATAGGATTCGACGACACGTATTTATCTACATTTTATTAGAGATTTCTAGAAATTATTTGGATTTCATTGGATCATTTAGATAACAAAAATACCCGTAGCAAAAATATAACAACAACGGAAATATTCTGAACTTGTAGTTCATTTTTAAATTTATTTTATAGTTTATCAGTTTAGAGAATTATATACAAATAAGTTTAGTTACCCCNATCAGTTTAGAGAATTATAAACAAGTAAGTTTAGTTACCCCTATTCAATATACCGCATTCATAAAAAATACAGAAAATAATTTTTTATAATTAAAATAGTATTTAAAAAATAAACAAAAGTTATGAAATCCTTTATGAATCGTCATTTAGTAAGATTAAAATTAAGTTGTTAAGATAGTAGATACACTTGTTAATTTAAAAATTTATAATTGGCTGACTTTTTAACTTAATTGTATCCATAACTGTATATTATAATATTTGTATATTCACATAACAAGAACATTAAATTATTTCAGTTAAGATAAATTTATATTAAATTTGAATTTCTTAAATGAAATGTTACAAAGAAAAATGAGATTAAAATAAAATAACAAAACAACAATTAAACATAGAAAAAGTAAAAAAATGTTTGGTGGTATACAAATAAAAATTTCAATTTATAGTGAATATTAAGAAAATTGATATAAAATACAAAAATAAAATTTCATTCATAAAAATATTAATTGAATAGCTCGCCAGCAATAATTTCATTTTTGTGTCTTAATCTTATAAAAGGCATAAAATTTGCATTTATTGGTGTTGTATCTCCTCGAGACATTTTTTCTGCCAGCTCAACAGTAAATGGCCCACAATCATGTCCATTGGTTTGGCGAGATGTCTCGCCTATTTGTAATGTCCATGTAGAAGCTTTTCCTTTTTTGTCCATCTCCCATTCAATTAAGAAATTTTTTAATACCATTGGATAAGGACCCTTATACGACTTAAGACTATCATATGATGTCACAGTCTTTTCAGGTATATTAACCACTGTCAATATCCAATGACTCTCATATACATTCATGGGCACAAAAAGTAATTTTATTGTGTGAATATCTTTTTTTATCCATCTTCTTACAGCTGGATAACCTCCTCGAAGATACGCTACAATAAAATCAGTGACAACTGCATAAACTTCACCTTCTGACCGTGTTACTATCATTTTAATGTACTCATTAATTGTGTCTGAAGTATACCATGATGTGGGCGATTTAAACGAAGGTGCATTATACTGATCAAGAGATTTTGTGTTCTGATCTTGTATTACTTCTGCAAATGTAACCATATTTAAACATTTTTTATAAAATTAATAAAAAACTTTGTTGAACAGTTTACAATTAGTTAGGTTTATTTAAGGTTTTGGAATAGGAAATTAAACACGTATAATTACTATTGTTTAAAACGTCCATGGACCCCCTTAATAACAAGCCTCTGCAGATGTTATATTAATTTAACACGTATTATAATTATTAATTATGTTTAATAAACAATCTTTTTTTATTTTATTTTACATAAAATAAATAGATTAAACAACTAATTACCTTTTTCTTTCTCTGATAATTTTATTACTTCAATAGTGGACAGAGCAACTAAATTTACGTCATTCGGCGTAATTAAAGTCAAAGGATTCGAACTAACTTTTGGCTCTAAAATAATTTATGTTTTAAAATATTACATATTTGTTTCAAAAATCAAAACGTTTATTATATTATTTTTTAAAAATGAATTATATTTTAAAAGTTGTATACTTTTTATGACTTTTTCATCTTCTTCTGATGAATTTCTTTTTAAATTTGGTCGAGTAGTAGTATTAGAAGATATCTCAAAAAGTTGTTTTTTTATTTCGGATTTGCGTTCCAAATTTTTCTTATGAAAACTCTTAA